GGGAAAGAAATGTAAGGTGTTTTCTGAACATTTCAGGTGCTTAAACAAAGGCACATAGAAGGCAAGTGGATTGAGCAAAGCGTTACAGAATTACTTGGAAAGGTTTACAAGTACCTAGACATTTGAAATTTGTATTGTGCAATTTGACTAAAGACTGGTTCTGCAGACTGAAAAACACTCACAGATACTTCAGTAGAGGCTGTTGTGTGTACATGTTAAAAGGTAGAGGACTATTTAATCCTGTGCACCCGTACAAATACATACAAGTATATATAGGTACATACACACATGTATGGATCACAACACAGTGTAATAAACTGAAGCCTGAGGTGGAGGATGTGCTTGTGTGATTTATGCTAGAATACTAACATTTTTGTCTGTTATGGCTGTTAGTGTTGTCGTGTTTCTGCAGGTTCTGTGTGATGGTTTCTAGAAATCATACACTGACTTGGCTCTCATGTTTAAAAGAAAACTGGGAATTGGAGAAAGACTATGAAATCTCCAGGCTGAGTTGTAAATTAATTATACTTGGTCTTTTATTGTCTTTTTAAACTATATTTTAGTAGGCATACTATGTCAGAACCATTTCTGTCAAGCTCCTTTCTGTCCCTGCTTCGGGAAGAAGAGAAAAATTAATGGTATTGTCCTTGCAGACATAGGAACCTTTTTCAGAGAATGTGACCTCTGCTAGGTTTTGGTATCTTCGTCTTCTAATCTAGGTACTTATTTTGTAGAAGTTGAAAAATTGCCACAATTACAATTCCATAAACAATGTTTAAGGCTGTAAAGCAAAAGGAGTTTGCATGGATTTTCATTCCAACTTTGTATATGGAAAAGTGGTGGCTGGGGTTTTCATTCATTTCCAGTTACACAGTTCAGACGAAGATGAGCAAACCTGAGATGGGAAGTGGTAAGTGATGTAATAAAAACAAACCTGCTATCCTGTTTGACGAATTAATTTGCAGTTATGTTTAAATCACAAGCGATTGCAAATCCAAATAACAGTGCTACTGCCTAGCAAAATGCCAGTGTTTACGAAGTCATCTGTAGATTTTGTATTTTGTATTTAAAGGATTGCTTCCTTTCAGTAGGATTTACAACTTGTAGACTAAAGTTATGTTCTGTGTTTGTATGGCAAGAGATATATCAGTTTTAGAGTATTTTTAAAAGCACTAGAAATAGACATGCTTGGTACTGATACAATCACTGATCCATGACCAGCTGTAGATCTACAAGTAATAATTAAAAAATAAATAAGGCAAGTCAAATTTATTGCAGTTGATAATTCCTAAGGCAGTGATGAAGTAAAAATTCTGATGCTATGTTGGATTGCTGTTTAAACTAGTGGCGCATTCAGGATTTTGAACTGCTGCGAAATGAGTCAGCTATTTAATTGTAGCCTTCTTGCTGGAGTTAAGAGAGCAATGCTGCAGCCTCTGAGGCAACATTCTACTATTAAATGTATTATCACGCTCCAATGATGTAGCCAACAGTGAATAAGGAGTGTTTCTTCTGGATTTTCCTTCCCCATCTCTCCTGCCACCTCTCCACTGTCCTTTGAATGATAAATATATTACAGCAAGGAAGAACAGAAGGACCACTATTCTGTTAGCCCAAAATTAACCTTTCCAACCTTATTCAACCTTATTTGACAAGGTATTCATTAATGTTTTATTGTCCTCCTTCAACAACAAATTTTTCTTCCATTTTGGTTTGAGAAGGATTGATTCTGTGATTTCTGGGGAAGTTCTGCAAATTAGGGAAGTACTAACCACAGTGCCTAAATGTGTTCAAATACCCCTCTTATGCCCAGATTCACTCCATTACTTTTGCTAGTAGTTTTGCCCTCTTACTGCGAAGTTAATTTAAACTGTGCTTTTATCAATATGGGAGTAGTGTATTGACAGATGAGTCATACCTGGTCACTATTAATTTAATTATCAAAATGTTTGAGAACTAGTTCTAAAACTTTAGTATCTTTTGTGCTGCTAAAATAGGCGCTTTAATGATCCATTCAAGGTGGTTTCAGTAGCACAATAAAGGTTGCCACTAAAGTCAACAGGAGTCTTTGCATGTCACTTAAAAGCATTTTTATAGACAGGGCTGGTCTGTTTGTTTTTTTTTTTTACAACCATTTTTTTTTATTACTTTCACCAAAAGATAACATATAAGCTACAGTGTTTTCACACATTTAAAAGATAAATAAGTGTATCTTCAATTCTTTCATGCATTGATAGTTTATAGAATACAAATTTTTTTCTTCATTGATGTTAATTTTACATACAGCTTGTTTGCCCCCTTTTTTTTAACTGTTTTCTTGTTATCATTTGTTTCCCTTGTTAACTTACAGATGTTTAAACAACAATTGGGAAACTGCAGTGATATTTACTGCTAGAGATAAAACGTTGCTCTATTAGGATGAAGACTGTATATCAAGGTATCAACTGGTAAATTAAAAAAAACGAAGCTAAATGTATGCTGTCAATTGAATTGATGCAGAAAAACTTAAAGAATAACAACTACTTAACCATCACCTCTAATTTGTGTGTGGAATACAAATAAAATAATCCAATTTTCCTATTTCCACACTGATTGGTATGTGTGTTAATTATAGTATTTACTGAATTTCCTTTTGGAATTTAAAATAAACTTGTTTGCAATTGTAAGTAAAATAGAGTTATAAAGACAAAAGCACATACTGCATTTCTCTTGAAGTTACGAACTATTTTTAAAGCTTTAAGATCATAAATACAATCCCATTGAATTTAACCAAATACCATATGACTAACTTGCTGCATAGTTGAGAAAAGAAAAAAATAGGTGGCACTTTGTATCTTTAATGGCACTTCTTTCAGCATAGTTTGCATTTGTATTACTAGTCAGGGTTACGTTTCAAAATAGTATTTTCATATATGCATGAAAAATACACAGAACACTAAATAAAGCAACAACTCCTATGCTGTTTTTCAAGCTTTAGCTAACAGTACAAGGATCATCATTGCTTGGTTTCATTTCCCCTTCCAGCAATAAAGTGATCACAGCCTTACTCAAGTAACTGCATGTTCCCTTTTTTCCAAGTGGGTGTGTGTTGTAGAATGCAGTCATGTCATCCTGCAGGAAAGGGAAAAGATGTTTCTGTTAGTGTTGATTATGTAAAGTAGCCAAACACAGGTGAATGGGAGGAACATCACAAATACACTAGAAATGCAAACGTGTTTTTCAGACTTCTAACATATAGTAGTACAATTATGCTCAGTTTTCAGAAATCTCCCACATACGCTACCTAAATATGTGGAAAACAGATTACTGAAATACATTGCATATTTTTTTTACTGAGTTTTCCAGTCCTGTAGAGATACCACCACCTTATTATTTTTTTAAATGTAACAGGTGTCAGAGAACAACTTCTCTCTTAACACATGCAGTGAGATGATTACTATGTGGTTAACTTACTATGCTGCCACAGTATGATTGTGAGCCAGGCCCTTGGATGTACATTTAGAGATAATGACTACATATTTATTTGGAAGAAAAGAAAAATTTTAAGTCAGACAACTAACCACAGTTAACACTAATTCATTAATCAGATCAACAAAATAGGTGTTCTTCACTGAACACCTGTTTTGCACGGTTAATGATGTTAAACGTCTGCTTATTCTTGAATCATGTATTGGCTGCTATAATAAAGGTTCAATGCTTTAATCCAGGAACCTGGTTATTTTTATTAAATCAAGGGCAGAAATTGTGTGGTGAAAATGTAACACCTGTAGTTTTAGGATGTATTTGAAATTACTGGAGTAAATATTTTTGACATTAATTACATGGTAAGAGGGAATTAATAAAGTTCAAAATACTTGCAAGTCAGTTTAATGGAAAACCATAGTTCAGACAAATGAGTTCTTTTAGCTATGAAAACTTGAGACAATTGTCATCAAAACAATCCTAGAGAAGCTACATTTAACATATACATAAATGTACATTTAACATATACATGTACATTCAAATATGGGAGATTCTGGTTTCCGAAAATTTTGATGTAAGGAGTTGGAATTTCTAACAACAGTTTTAAAGATATTATTCACAACTATAATCTGGAATTTCCTTCTGAGACAAAAAGGCATCATTCTGTGTAGATCTGGAAGGATTTGTAAAAAAATCCTTCACTTGAATGGAGGTTATGGCAGCACCAGTAAAAATTGGGGTTTGCATGGGATTTTTCTTTCTTTTTTAGCCATTCGGGACTTCCAGTTTGCCACAGAAGTCAGTAGTATATTCAAGATACTGTGTGGAGCAATTTGTGTGGATAGTAGTTCTGATTTTGCTACGGCTGCAAACACACTACCTTCCAAAATGGCCAGGCCAAAAGAATCATACTTTCAAGAAAATTGTGTCCTTTTAAAAACAGAGGTGTTGTGCAAGGTGGTATGTTGCTAAGGTAGCTTGTTTTGCTTTCAAATCCTACTACAGAAAAGTACTGGCAAAAAAGTGAACCTTGAAACTTTTGAAAAAATTATTAAGGAGCACTTCCTCATCTTTCACAGGAGCTAAATTCAGCAACAGAAGTGCTGTTGTGTAACAGGATGTTATGAATACATTGGTTATTCAAAGCTAGCACAGATATTTCCAAGTATATTGTGCGCAATAAAACACCAGACAGAGTGAGGAAGATCATCCTCAGTAGTACAGGGACTTGTCACACTCATACTTCCTCCTTCAACCACTTTAATAAACCTGGCTTTAGCACACAATTTTAAAGCTCTGAGGCACCAAAACTTGCAGCAAGAATACTTAGAGGTCTTTAACGATTAAGTTTCATTTATTTAAGCCTTAGAGATTAAAAGCTTGCTATGTCATGAATGCAACTCTAGCACTAAAATCAGTAGCTAAGAAGAGTTTGAATTCACAGTTTGGTAATGAAGTAAGTGCCCATCTTTTATCTCTGCTCTTTGCAGACTTAGGCAGCACCTGGGTATATTTATTTCTTATTTGAGTTCCATTCCGACCTCCTATCAATTGCTTTTTATTCTGAGCCTCACATAATTAACATTTATAAACACACTTGAGTAAGAATAGTAAATTCTGTAAGTTAGTGATTTTTTTCTTACTTGCTTTTCAGCTCCCTTTGGATGGCTGTTATCTTTCTTAAAGTCCTGAAATGCTTCTTGCACCACTTTGTCCAAGTCCACTTTGTCCTGGAACTCTAGCTCAGGATTTCTCTCCAAAATGACAGATATAACCATCAACAACTAGGAGGCAGAAAAAGACCGTAAGACTTCAAATTTACCTTTTTTTTTAGTTCAGGTTACATAAAAGCACTCTTAATAATTGCATATGCCTCTTTCATGCAGGAGGCCATTTAATAATGGGACAGGTAATAGTGCACAAATAAGAGAATTCTGACTTTGATAAAGGAATCACTGGAAAAAGCAGGCTTTTATGACAGTTACATTTTTTGGTGACTACCTAGTTAAGGGCACTGTGTAAATGATTGACATCAACATCTAACTTTGCTAGGAGCCAGGGAATTATTTTCCAGTTTATTCAGTTCACTGTATGGCTGCACAAATGCTAGTGGTCAGCCAGTGGAGAGGGTGAAAAGCAGTAAACACTGAACCCCATAGCATGTGATATTTAGAGGCATAATCACGTATGCCATAATATTATTATACCAAAGTTTATAAAAAAATTAGTAGACGCCAATGAAAGGTTTCAGTTTAAGAGAATTTATATTCCTCGTATCTGGAAAGAAATTTAAAAGAGGAAGGCAAACATGATGAGTGACCTGTCATAGTAACTACAGGTGGGCAGTAGAGTCTATATTGGTCATCTTGGGTTTCAATAATTGTGTTATCTTTTAGCAAAAATTGGGAATGTTCCAGCAAACAGTATGACCATTAGTTGTTAGCCAGAATTGAGACGGATTTGATTTCACTGTGGAGGAATACTCATAAGCACCGAGGCATGTCCTTGGGAACTAACAATGAGCGCTGCTGACAGCACAGATGCCAGTGACCAACAGTTTGGATGCTCTTGATCTGTTCAAAAAGAATACATTATATGCAGTGGTGGGGAAGGGGTTTAAGTAGCCTCTTACTTTACTAGGTATAAGGAAACCGGAAGTTAGTTGATTCAGTAGCATAAAGCTAGACAGCCATAGCAAAATGGGAAAGAAAATCTACTGCAGGGAAAACTGATATTTTAGAGGAGTTTTCCCCTAGACCTCGAAAATTTTTAGGAAAGGGCATGGCTTAAGGACTTGAAGGAAATCTACTCTGGAACTACTCATTTTCACTTGTGACCTAATTGCATTGGTGCTGTCATTAATATTTATCTATTTGCTAAAGAGGAAGAACACCAAGAACTTCATTTATTCGTAACATGTTAACAGCAACCTCATTAATCACACAAAAACTATGGAGAAAACAGTGTCTGTATTTAAAGTGCTATTTCTTCAAATAGTTGAGTCTTGGTTACTTTTTGCTTTCCTTTTAATCTGTAACATACTTATGTACATTATAAAATTCCATTTGTTATAGGCCACAGACCTCTACAATAATTTGCCTGTATTCCGGTTGATCAATATTTTGCAGCATATCTTCAACTAGAAGGGAAAAATTCATTTCATACATCGTCATATCCGATAAGGTTGGTTGCTGAAAAACAAATCATACTTTTACTCAAAGACCATTTAAGCTAAATCAAAATCACGCCCAGCTAAAGTCTATTTGCTGGCCAAATAAATAATACTCAACTAAGAAATATGACCACTTCAGGATCAAAAAGGGAGTTGTTTTCAGAGTCCTTGACTTGGAAAGGGTCTTCTACACTTATGCTTTTACAAATATGTATAAACTGACTTACATTCTATTCTAATGGTATTTTACTCAAAACCAAAATGAAAACTTGATTCTTTTTCAAATAATTTTTTTTAATCATAACAGGAACAAACTACCCTAAGTAACACATTACAGCATAAAATAGACATTAACAATAAAATAATTTAACATTAATAGTCAGACAGAGTAGAAATAACTGATTATCTGTGCTGATTTTACCTGTGGTAAAAACTTCCCTGCCACTATTAAACCATTAGGGGTTCTCTCCAAGATCTGCCACACCCGATCATAGAATCCAGCAGGAGTTCGATTGAGAGAACCGTCTATCTGTCTTCTGTTTAGCCAGCCTCTGCAGACAAAGAAAATTGGGAATTTGAAGTAAGAAACTGTTACAAATAAATAACCAAGCCATGTTTTCTCATATAAGCCAGTGAGGTTAAGTGGTGATACCAAATACATATTAATGATGTATATACAATATATATGTTGTGCTTTCTGGCATGTTACACTCTAAAGCAAACAAAATCAAGATGCTAAGCCTGTAGAGGTTTGAATATTATTCTGATGTGTGTGTTTGTGGTTTATCTAACTGGAAACTCTGAAACCTATCCAGTGCAGTACAGTAACAACAGCAGTAGGCTGAATTCATCAAGTCTAATCAATTTAAGTCACCATAAACTAAAACATACATAAAACATAAGTCAGTGTCCGATACCTGTACCTGTGACAGTCAAATTTACACACACTGGAAAAGATTAGTATTAACTATAACATTAAAGTTGTTCTATAGTACTACAATAGGCAAAACAATTATATAAATACAGCTCAGTGAAATTCTGCTTCTATAAAATACATAACGTAATAGCTTATGGATTAGAAACACCTATCATCCTAATTTAAACACCAGGTTAG